GACGTACTTGCCACTCGCGTAGGCGTACGCCCCGGGCCAGAGATTGGAGCGCACCACCGCCAAGGAGTACTGCGGGGACAGGTTGCAGGAGAGCCGGGCCGTCCACGGGGAGAGGTGCGCGATTTCTGCGGGCAGAAGGGCGCAGTGGTCAGGGGTTCCAGAAGCCAGCTGAGCCCACCTCTCCTTGGTCCCCTGGAGGGAGGCGGAGAGAAGGCAGGGAGGAGGCAAAAAGGGTGCAGCCATCAGGGCTCAGAGGGGGGCGGAGGCACCAGCCCAGGTGCTGGAACCCTGGCTTCTGTCCACGCCCTGCATCTCCCCCTGCCGGAGCCTCAGTGGTCGCATCTGTGAAGCAGATAGACTGTGACTGTGAAGCCTGCTATTAACGGGTACCTGTACCCAGTGCCACCTGCAGGGAACAAGGCAGAGTACGCGTGGGTCCCTGGGTCAGGGGATACTGGACTCAAAGCCAGCTCCTTTTGTTCCCCCCCACCCCCAGGCCTGATGCCTTGTCCACGCTCCCACAATCCACCTTGGGGCCCAACCACTCTGGCAGGCCACGCTGGCCACGCTGCCCTCTGCCCAAGCCCGCATGTTCACATTTCACTTCTGGGTCTCCATCTGCCCGCCACCCTGGGTGGGAAACTAACACTGAGGGGAAACGTGATGAGGACTCTGTTCCCTAACTGATCACAGAGGGAGTCTGGAAAGCCGGTATTCCACGGTAGGAGAGCCTCCACTTTGGTCAGTTAGAGGTAAAGTCCAGGTACATGATCCTGCATTAAATATCATTCCCACAGATTCTCCCCTAACAACTATGCTGCCTTAAAGGGAGCACATGGTTGATTCTATCTCCCTATAGGAGCAGACAAGATCCTTTTGCTCTCTTTCCACCGTGACACCCAACCCCTCTTGCACCTTCCCCAATGCAGGTGTTAGGTTTCCTCACCTGTGAGCTCGGGGACCTTACTGTAGATACCACCCACCTTGTGACGCATGTAACTACTGAACATGCATGTCTTAAGGCTGCCTATAAAAGTCCCATGATAGTAAAGGCCATCTCTCTTCTCCCAGTTCCGCGTGGCCCATCAAGAGGGGCTGAGGTGAGCATGCTACCATACAATGTGTCTGACTCCTTTCTTTTACTCTCTCTCCCATCCCCTTTGACTTTACTCTCCTCTTTATAGGTTATGACATACAATTGCACCTACTGGCCCTTCCGTTGCTGGAGGCTGGTTTCCTCTGACCACCCTGTGAGGGAGGGGCAGGTGAGATTCCCATTGTTTGCATGAGGAAACGGAGGATAGGCTACAACTGCCCCTGGTGGGGGAGGAGGTGCCGAGATTATAACTCTTAGGGGAGTAGAAAGCCCCATCTTTCTCCCTCAGAGCGGCCCCACAAGTATCCAACAAGGGGTGATCCCCCGTCTCTTTGGGAGCTGGAGATAAACTACCAGGTCGTACAAGGTCAGCAGAGAGCAGGGCTTTGGCATTGTGA